TTTGGGTCCCGGACGGACGTTTGTGAGCGGGTGGCTGGGGATGCTGAAGCTGCGGGTTCAAGTCCGGGGGTCGGGGGTCGATGGGAGAGGCTACGTTGTGGGCTGTCCTGAGGAGGTCTAGTCTGCGGCGCCAGGGCTAGTGCTCGAGCATTTGCGGAGCGTGGGGACCGCTGTGATGAACTAGAAAGACAAGGACCCTGCTCTCCAGGAAGCAATAGGGCCAAAACAACAAATAAACCTAAGCGCTTGAGAGAAAACTACACAGGGTGAAGGGGCAGAAGGAAATGAAGAAGTCAGTCACATGAAGATCCGGAGAAGGGATCTTCTGCAGAGGGACAGCTAACCTTGTATTAGAGCTTAAATTACGAACACTTAATTTGCGGACGGATTTCGATACTAGTAAAAACAGAGTCCTTTAGCACAACCCCCATGTGAATTCAGCTTCTATTGAATTCCCTGGTAGTATTGTGGTTATGCGTTGGACTGCAATTCTCATGGTGGACAGTTCGAAACCACCAGCAGCTCCAGGATAAAGCCTGTGCTGTCTGCTACTGTAAACAGTTAGTCTTGGAAAACCCACAGGGGGTCGATATGAGTGAGTTGGAATCAACTCGATGGCAGTGAGTATTATCCAAAGGTGAAGATAGTCTTGCCCTCAAGTGGACTGCCTCCACTCCCTCTCCTGCCATCCCAGAGACAGGTAGTTGCTTTTAGTGGCTTGCCTGAATATGTCCTAGAAGGATCTTACAGACGCGGTCGAATAGTTGTGAGTCGTGCCCTATCAGCCCTGCCCTGACAGCCGTGGTCAAAAGGCCCTGTAGCAATCTTGTAAGTTCTGCATGCAATGTATATGCCCCAATTATGGTCCTCTTCCCAATTCTATAGTTCCACCTGTAATTATTGTTATCATGAATTTGTGATGATTTAACCAGCTTTCTTTTTTTGCCAATGCACTATGCCATCTGGTTTCTTTCTTTCTTTTTAATCATTTATTGGGGGGCTCTTACAGCTATTATTACAATCCAACATACATCCATTGTGTCAAGCACATTTGTACATATTTTTCCATCATCATTTTCAAAACATTTTCTTTCTACTTGAGCCCTTGGTATCAGCTCATTCCCTCCCCTCCCCCCTTCCCTCATGAACTCTTGAAACTTTATAAATTTGTTTTTTCACTGCCTCCACCCATTCTTCTGTTGTTCATCCCCCTGGGAGGGGGTTAACTAGCTTTCTGACTGTAAATTCTCTCGGATGCCATTGACCTCCTGCTAATTGTCTCCCTCATCCTGATGATGTGTCTTTGGCCCACTTAAGACTTAATAAATGTTCTCATTAAACTATATTTGAGATTGGGTCTCTTTTGTACCCTAACACAACCAAAAGGTGCACTTGTTTGAACCCACTAGTTGATTCAGGGTAGAAAAGACCTGGTGACCTGCTAGTGTAAACCCTTGGAAACCCTGAGAAGTCCTGTCATTTCATAGAAGGTCACCTTGAGTCCAAGATACAAGGCACCAATAAGCAGAAGAATGACATGCTGTGATTTCTAATTTTAAGGTTACTCCTGAGCCCTCACCGGAAGAGTGCATATCTTCAGTTGTCTCTAAGCTGTGTGAACACATAAAACCTAGCCTAACAAAGCCAGAAAGGCATATTAGAGACACCTCCATTGAACAGTTACAGTCTCGGGTTAAACCCACAGGGGGTCCTCACTGTGAGTCGGTATTGACTCAATGGCAGTGAGTTTGTTTTGGTTTTCGTTTCATGATGTGACCATCAGAGTCCCAGAGAGGAAACAATATGCTCTTTAAGAGGATTTTAAGTTTGGATTTAAGTATACCATATCATGCTCTGGGGATTATCATTCTGATATGTTTTTAAAAAAGCAAAAACTGCCATCGAGTCAATTCGACTCATGGTAGTGGCCCTAAAGGACAGAATAGAACCACCCCTGGGGTTTTTCAAGACTAAATCTTTACAGGAGTAGAAAGCCTCATCTTTCTCTCTTGGAGTGATTAGTAATTTCTAACTGCTGACTTTGGGTTAGTAGCCCAACTGATAACCCATTATGCTATGCACCTTCCATTAAACAGGAAATCCGAGAAAAGTGTTCTTTGGGATGGAAAGTGAACAAAAATTAGGATATAAATATGGAATCTTGGTAAATCACATTACTGTCTTTTAAAAAAAAACTTTATTGTGAATTGGTTGAAGAGTAGATCT